GCTCGGATGGCTCATTTCCTCGTTCTCAACTCGTTGGACCTATTCAACACCAAAACAACAAAGAAAACGCGCAAAAATACGAAAACACTATAGAAGAGCAAGAATATACGAAACACGACAAAATGGACCGGTCGAGACTAAAAACGGACGTAAAAACCACAAAATAGAACACATAAAACACAAGAAAATAAGGACAAAAACACAACAAACAGTTAATTTTCTCCACAAAATTATAATGATTTATACAAGTGTGACATTCAACTTACACATAATTATATAATTTTGTAAATAATGGTCTTTGTACTTATGATTTAGGTTCATATAAATTTGTTTCTAACTTATTTATTTAGTTTATTAGCTTGTCACATTGAAATAAACAAAAATGAGGGGCAATTTTTTTTTTTCTTATTTATTCATCCAAAGTTACTCAATGTATGAGATAAACAAAGTAATGGTTTAAATCTAAAAACTTTCAGTATTGAACGAAAAGGAGGGGCATTATTTTTACATTTGGCCCAGGGCCTAAAAAATGCTAGACCCGGCTCTGATCTGGCCCACTTGCTTCTGAGTTGCTGGCACTTGTGTTATGTCGGCCCTTGTACATTGTTATCATCCAACTCGGCACAGCATCGTTAAGGAGTCTTAAGCATCATGTTAAGTGAAATTAACCATCGAACCGGCGTGATCCAAAGTCGTGCTAGTCCGCGCAATGAACCGGTCCGAGCTACCGAAGACCGAAGTAATCTATACCTACCGAAGTCACACCAAACCGAGGCAAGCACGAACCGAGGTCTCACCTCTTAAAGCAGGTGACAAGGCGCCTACGCACCCCTATCGCGACTTACGAGATTTGACATCATTAAAGTGGGATCCACAGGTCTCACCGCCCACTAAAAAGTAGCTTTATGAAAAAGCAAATGCACAGATCCCGATATGTACATAAAAAGTTACTATAAATAGCTAACCTGTGACACTTGTACGGGGGATCCCGAACTCATCAATATGCAACAGGCAATAGCCCATAAAGGCTTTTCACCTCGGTCCAACTCGGACCGGGGCCACTGTTGAGTTTTTCTTGCATGTTTTACGTCCAAATCATTTGACATCATCATATAAACACCACATTACATCGTTGTTAAGAATCATACGACAACAGTTTGGCGCTAGAAGGAGGGCCTCATAAGTGATTTGAGGTTACTCTCCGCTTTCTCGTGTAACGATCCACATCATCCATATTCATCATGTCTCATTCAGATCATCGTGGTCACACTTCACGAGATGGCCACAGTCGCAGTGCTGTGCAATCCGCCAGGCGACAAGCCGTAGCTCCCCCTGTACCGGATTACACTGTTTTGTTTCAAAATCTGGAGTTTGCGCGTGGTTTCGCCGCTCTGATGGCTCAAACGATCCCCGGAACATCGAC